CACACACACACACACACACACACACACACACACACACACACACACACACAACCGTTACTGAAAGGGCCTATGGAAACACAACGTGTACCGTACTGAACAGAGTCGAACCGTGCCGTACTGGTACCAAGTGGTACTATGGAAAAGGGGCATATGTGAATGTTTCTGAGGTGCCCTGAGACAACTTTGCTGTGAATTGGTGCCATATAGATAAATTGAACTGAACTGAACTGGTCTTGTGACATTTAAATTACAATGTGAATAACCACACAATGATGAGACGTGCAGCGTGAACATGGCCTTGGTACTGGAAGCTTGGTTAGATACAGAGCTCTAACATGGTTTATGGTTCACTCATATTTCATACACTTATTATTGTCCTTCATGAAAAGGCTTCTAGGTAGATGATCTTCTTTAAACTTATTTTAACCTGGTATTAATTGTGCAGTGTTCCAAAAGAGGGCAAATAAAATAATGGGACTCTCTAACTTATTTGAAACGTCTAACTATATTTATTGTTACTCCAGAGCTTCACCTCAAAGTCAGCAAGGCTGACACAGTTTAGACATGTGCTGAGGGGAGGGACAGTGGATATCGTGGACAAAAATGTTAAAGTTGGAGCTGCTGTGGAGAAGGAAAAAAGGAAGAGCATGGAGTAGGCTCATGGGTGTAGTAAGAGGATGAGACCCTGCAGAGGGTCGGTGTGTAAGAAGAGGCTGCTGACATGGGGTCAGATGGAGGCAGATGATCTGCTGTTACCCTAAAAGAAGCAGACTAAAGCATTTTTAAAGTACTCCCTTCCTGTCTGAGTCTATTTGGAGCAGAGATTTTTCACCTGGAACAGCTGGCTGATGTGGTTCAAAAGAACTGGGATAAAAACACCATTTCCTGGAAAAGGTTCCCACTCATGAAAAGCACCTGGTTCACCTGCCAGATGCTCCACTTTGACCTAATGGCTGAAACGGCAAACAACTCCTCAGCTGTTGCTTGAGAAGTAAAATCAAAATGCTCTTCTGACAACTGGCACTGACACAGTTACAGCTGTTGAGTTTATTTCTGGGAGTTACGTTGATTTTAGGACAAAGACAATCGAACAAAAGGCTTTAGGGCATCGGTTAAGTAGGGCACAGATCTGAAAACTCTCATATACTCAGAAGGCACGTATTGAAGACAACCTGTCAACACTTTCTTATGTCTAAGTACTACAGATTAGGATTAGTACTGTAATTTGACTGACCTGACTTACATCAGAGGCTTGGCAATAAATGCCAACTAGACCAGGGGTCTGCAATCTGTGGCTCTGGGGCCACAAGCGGCTCTTTGGTCTCTCTGCAGCGGCTCCTTGAAGCTTTGACCAAAACTTTACATGAAAATGAATTTTACTGGTTTTTATACCCACAACAGAAGTGACTATTTTTTTTAGCAAATTTCATGCTAAGTTTCTACAAATGTGTGAATAAAACTACGAATACAACCAATAAACATGGATCAAGTTTAGATCAGTGGGATCTTTGGAATAACTTTAAAACAGATTGCTTCAAACAAATACGGTGCATTTAATAACTGTGGGAATAAAAAAAAATTATAATTAACGTCAAAGTAAATAAAAGCATTTGTTTTTCATTGAAAATATTCAGTAAATCACAATTGTATGGAAGAGGATTAAGGCCACATTTTCAGAATTATGACTTTTATTTTTCCTCAGACTTTAAAGTTAGTCAGAATTCAGGAGACTTATTATTTTTTAATTGCACTGTGGCCCTACTCCTTCCATTACTTTAATGTTATGCTTTATTACTGCAAACTGAGATACTTACTGTTATTTTTCCACAAATAAAATGTGGACTCATCAAGGCATGCAGAGTTGAGCGTTTTAATTTTCTATCAAAATTTGTCTAAACTATTTTTGTTGCATAAATAGTGCGTTTTCTTTTGTCCTAAAATGTAAAAATATCAATAAATATTAAAACTCCTCATATACTTTTAATTTTATAATGTCACCCCAACTGGCCAGAACCCCTACTCCCAATGAACTTGAAGTGGACCATGGGCCATCAGTTGATGATCCCAGTTGTAGAAAGTTTCGCAGCTTCAGACACGTTTGATTGAACAGGGTGCAGACTGAACTGCACCCCGTTTTACCAGACGCTGCAAACTAATACACACTACTGACATCCATTGTTCTTCTGTACGGTTTTCAGCACTTGTTCTGAAATCTTAGTGCTTGGGGCTGGGTACCATTCTAAAAAAATCAGTATTGGTACTGGTGTCTGTACCTTCACTTTAGTGTCGGTTCCTGGACGGTTCTTTTTCTGGTACCAGTTTTGTAATTGATATTAATTCCAACAAGAATAAAATTACATTACACATTATAGTACATATTGTGAATTTTATTTTTTAACTTTGGTATTTCTATTCCAAGCAGTTTTCTTACATTAAAATAAACAAATAATTTCCAGTTCAAAAGACCAGTTACAAACCAGTGACACGTCAGTGTCTAATGTTCACTGCTACACTGAGGACCTTTTCACTGAACAGTTTTTCTTCAGAAACATCATGTCTGTTTTCTCTGGACACAAACCAGCTGCTCCTGGCTGATGGTGTCTCCAGCAGTAGAAAGTGTTCACTCTGAGGCTGTAGATGATGATTGTTGCACACACAAATACCTGGTTGTCAGTTTGACATGTTGTCCCTCACATCCCACCAGCAGGTCACTGGATTCACTGAGGTAGAGTTGATGCAGACTTCTGTACCTCTATGTCTCTTCCTGAATCTTCTCTGTGGTTCTCTGGGGTTTAGGGCTCCGATCATCTCCCTAATTGATGTGAGAACAAAACATCAATCACGTGGTTGTGTTATTATTGATCAAAAAACATTATCTAGGCTGAGAGATAAGCTTAACTGGTCAACAAAATCCTTTACAGCTTAACTTACCTCCACCATGGAGCCTCCACTGTAGAAAAGACAGCAAACTTTTAACAACAAAGTTTGTGATTATCCTGTGCCCCCCACCTCACTTTTCTTTTGTCTGTCTCTGTCCTCACATCTGGGTCAGAACCTCCTGTGAGAACATGAACAAACTGTGAACATCAGGTGAATTGTTTAAGCAGCTGACTAGATGGATGAGCACATTTTTACAAGCTAAGCTTCATCTAATCTTTAGTTAGCTTCTGAGTTTAGCTAGCCACGTAGATACAATAAATTTACACACTAATATCTTAAAGTTAGCGTTACATGGATTCTAGTTTAATTCACGGCGATGTACGTGTTTAGCTGCAGTAACGTTAACAAACGTAAACTCACCAGCTGAAACACAGACACAGCTCCGTCTTCGGAGTTCTTTGATGAAGAGTCTGGTCGTGGAATGTTGAGTCCGTTTAACACTCATAGACTGACTAACGCTGAGAGGAGGAGGAGAGGCTGCTGTCCGTCTTGTCTTCTTGCAGAAAAACACAGAGCAACTTTCTGCACGTGTGTTGTCGAAGCCGTTCGACAACACACACTCTGCACACGTGAACCCTGTCTGTGGGCGTCACCAGCACCATAGACATACATTATTCATAGATTAGATGCGGCAGCTCTATACAGCTCTGGGTGTAAACACGTAGTCTGTTTGTCATACGTCTGGTGTTTTACCTGCCTGTGTGATGAAACCACATGACGCGTTACATCCAATACCGAAACTTGACACTGAAAAAAGAGTGACGTTTCAATCCATACACCGAGCGGTGCAGTTCGGTCGGTGCCATTTAAGAACCTCTGTTCGGTACTCAGCTCTATTGGTGCTTTTACATTAATTCATGTTTCAAAATGTTCGGCTCATTCAGGACATTCCTGTGATTTTTTTTCTTTGTAATAATTTCAATTTTTTATGCTCTTTTCAGCCTTATTCTGCTAATTTCAGTCTTTTTTCCAGCAATATTGTTTTATTGTTGTTGCTAATTTCAGATTTTTTTGTTACCTATTCAGCCTCTCTCTACCCATTTCAGCTTATTCTGGTCATTTCTGCTACATTTCTTCTTTATTCAGTCATCATCAAGGACCCTCATCAGTATGCATACCGTGAGAACCGATCAACAGAGGATGCCATCTCCTCTGTGGTCCACACTGCGCTCAACCACCTGCAGCAGAAAAACTCTTACGTCCGTATGCTCTTTGCGGAATTCACATCTGCCTTCAACACCATGATCCCCCAAACCCTGATGGACAAATTATTCACACTAGGACTAAGCCCCTCCATTTGCAACTGGGTACTAAACTTCTTAACAAACAGACCACAGTTAGTGAGGATCCACAACTTCTCCTCCTCCACCATAACACTCAGCACTGACTCTCCTCAGGGATGTGTGTTGAGCCCTCTCGTGTTTACTCTGCTCACGTATGATTGTGCAGCTACCCATCCAGGCTGTCACATTGTAAAGTTTGCAGATGATACAGCGGTGGTGGGATGCATCACAAACAATGATGAGTCCAGCTACAGGCAAGAGGTGGAACACCTGGAGAGCTGGTGCAAAGAGAATAACCTTCACATCAATGTGAAGAAGACAACGAAGATGATTGTGAACTTCATAAGGAACAGAAGGAATAACAAAATAATAACAAAATAAATAAAT